GGGACCATAAAGCATAATATTGTTGGTTTCATCCAATTTAATGTCGAATTTCATCATGGACAAATCATTCATTTAGTCAAGTCCTCTAGGATAGTGTCAATTTTACTTCAGATGATTCGTTCTGTGATACCATGAAAAAACAAGAAGGAAGAGATTAGGAGAAATATTTCTCAAAGGTTTACAATGATACACTAAACTATATTTATAGCCTTAAAATAAAATAATCTAATTAGTTATATTAAATCTAAATACTATTTAAATTTTGGAAACTAGTCCTATTCTAATTGATCTTTTCTTTGAAATTCAAATACAAATCAAATAACATCTACATACATCTCATTCCAACACATAAAGATCAAAACACTTGCTCTATCTTTTTTTTCTTTTTTCTTTTTTTTATCATAGCCAACAAACTTGAATAATGTCAATATAGTCCAGCATACAATAATCAAAACAGGCATTATAGCATAAAATTATATGATGTGCTGCCTCACAAGTTTTGAAAGAACAAAGTAGAGTAGGAAATTGTGAGTTGTGCCTTGTGCATAAAGCAAATTGCTGAACTCGGAGACAAATATAATCTTGAGCATTCCACAGAGAAATCCAATTTTTTTTTGACAAAATTCTTTGAATTTTCACTGATATGATCACTGATGCCAAAAAGATGCTCAAAACTGGCAGTGCCCATGATGGAAAACAGACCAGAGAGCTGCTTCAGGAAAATTGATCAATTGCAAGAATTCATTAAAAATTTCAGACTTTTACAAAAAAAAAAAAAAAAATCCTCAAAAGTTCTTCAGTTGAAAATTACGCATACAAATTACAACGGAGACCTACGGAAACATTTCTCAAAGAGACTACCAGAGAATTTCGTGAATATTTGTGTTGTAGCAAAGACCAATATGGGCCCGTAATGGACTCAGGTTGACAGAGACAGTTACAGACCAATACAATCCACTAGATTTGGTAAAATCTACAATTTAATAGATATCATATCACACGTTCACTGTTATGGCGGTGAACCTACAAAGAAAGATGGTAGGGTGGGCCCTTCCCAGCTGAATTGAGATCCTTTAACAAAGGCCCAAATAGTAGAACTGGTCTATTTTTAATTTTTTTTTGTCATACAGGGGTATTCCAGCATTTTTGCGGGACTAATCCCCCCGAAGTTGTACAGAGGCTCGTCCAAGGATGCACAGCAAGGTTCGAACGGGTGACTTACGAGATACTATCGCATGTGGTCACCAGTTGAGCTCTCTGCTGGGGGCTGTAGAACTGGTCTATTTGATAGATAGACTTAATGGAAATACCCATTGTTCCAGTACTATTGTTTAAGTAGTTACTATTTACTTTGGGGTAGGGATGGATTAGGTGGTAAGGTAAGAATAATTATAAGTAGGAGGTTTTGAATTTAAAAATTTTCACTTGCTAAAAAAAAAAGTAATTATTTACTTTGACTAATAAATTAAGGAAAATGATATTCACACTCTCAAGTTTTTTGGTGACTTATTATAGAGTCACTGGATTGGAATGAGAAAGGCTAAAAAAGGTATAGGCAACTTGTATTAAAGTAATATGTTAATTTAATCATAATTTGATTTGCAATATACGTAATATATCAAATCCAAATTGTTTTGATCTTTTGATTATTTCTTAAACAGTATAATTGTTATGCAAAATACATTATTAAAAACAGCTATTGGTTGATATCTAGTAAAATATTTATGGGGGCATTAATGGCTACTTCCAAATGGGATTGCTATTACACAAAGGATAGGAACTAAATTTATAAAATTAAAAGTTTGGTAGGAAATACTTATGCGATTGGATGGGGGCAAATATCAAATATGGTAAGGCAGTACAAAATCAGGTTTCATTTGGATAGGCATTTCCTGAATTTAAAAAACCCCCAAACACTACTCTACCTCCTCCACCAAGCCTACACCTCTATTCAATCCCACTCCAACATTCTATGCCACTCTACCCCTCTCCTTCCCCCCTCTCGACCACCACCAACCCCTCTCTCAAGTCCCTTCTACACCTTCTTCAATTTTTTTTTTGGAATCTTAGGAAAGAAGACGAAGAAAGATGAAGAAGATTTATACATGAAAAATTTTCAATGTCTAAACTTGTCATTTCTACCTCTTTTTTTTTTCCAACCCAAGATTGATATTTGCACATGAATTACTTGTGAGAACTTGATAGAGGTTATGTGAATAACAAATTTTTCCCTTTATATTTTGAACACGTGATGAGCCCATGATTTTTTTTCGACATAAATGTAACTAGAAATGCATTCACCGATTTTAAAAAAAAAAAGTATAGTTTTAAATTTAGATATCGAGTCGGGTACTTATCTAGTGCGTCTCCGATCATTCAAGTACCGTATGGCCGTGGGGTAGTTACAGTTCGATTTTTTGTCAGACTGTTCGGATTGAATTGGGTCATAAGTTTATTCTGCAGGTTAGATACCCAACTCGTGAACACCCGTTCATGAAATTACCAGTTTATTCCATGCCTCTTTTTTCTACTCCTAATAATTAACCCAAGTATCAGCATGAATCCCGGGTTACCACCTCAGATATCCACTTCTTTGGCTTAGCATTTTGCCCGTTAATCTAAACAACCACCCCCTTATCAATTTTACAGCTCTAATCTTCAGCTCATTTCTATTCAACTCGTCATTTATTTTCAACTCACCATAAATCTGCTCTTTATAAAATTTTAAGGCTGTTTTTGAAGCTTAAGTTCTTCAATTTCTGAAGTTCTTGCCGTAGACTATGTTGAGCTTTAAAATTTCATAGCTTAGGAAATGTGTGTATGTGTATATGTGATCAGTGTATAGAAGATTTATATATATATATATATATATATATATATATATATATATATATATATATATATCTGTGTGTGCATTCTAAGAGGTGTTTTCACTTTTGACAATTCTTGAAACTTCCTACCCTCCATCATTTTTCTTATAAATTTGAATTATTTTATGTAGTTTAAATCTCTATAACCATTTTAAATGGATACTAAATACTTAGCATTCACTACTTCTTACAATTTATCTAAAATGAGTTGATTCAATAACCTAACAGACTACTTAAAATTGGAAATTTTGAAAAGCAAATGAGGAAAGATTCACCAATGAAATCCAAATGGGTCATACCTTTAAAAATAAACAAAGGACATTAAAGAAAGCCATTCAATCAGTTACCAAATAGAATGAAAAAAATATATGAATGGCTCACAATTGAACTAAATATGATTTATATGAAATAAGCATAACTTTAGTAGCTCTTTTAGCCTAGCTTATTCAAATTAAAATGAATAGGAAGAAAAATTAAATGCCCTGTCCATGTTAAAAGAAAATATAAAAATGAACTTAACTTAAAAACATAATCTATGAACTATACACTTAAAAAATAATACATAAATTATTATACCCATATCCATTTTCAAATATATTTTTTCACTTAATTAGTCTAGACATTGAGTGTAAGGAAAATCATTCTATTTTATTACTATATACATAAAATAATTAACAAATGCAAAAATTAGATATCTGTACCAGTTCTTAGATCTATATCAGTTTTTTTAGATCCACTAATAAAACCCAAATAGACCACATTTTTTATAATAAATAAAGGAGATTAAGGAAACCCATTTAATTTGTAACCTAATACAATAGAACTGAAATATAATTAGCTCACCTTTAAACGATATATGGTTCATATCAAATAAAAGTCGAACTTTAGTCCTTCTCTCTTCATTCAACATTTATAAATTTGAATAATTATGAAGGGCAAATAAATGTCATTTCTATGCTAAAAGAAAAGTTGATAATGAACTGAAATTGAAATATAACCTGTAAGCTATCCACATACAAAATTAATATATAAATTTTTGGTATGTTTTTGTCTCTTTTTCTTTCATTTTTCTTTCTTACATTGTTGTATTATATCATGCACTCAAAATATTTTTTTGGACTATGTCCAATATAATAATCTTATAATGAGGGCAATCTTTAAGGAGAACTAAATTTTTTCTTATATGAACTTAAATAGAAAAGAGTTCTTTTGGATGGATTTTCTAGCAGCATTGTTTTTTATTTTTTTAAAAAACATTTTTAAATAGCTATTTATGAAAAAATTGCAAAGATGGTGAATTTACACCCCAAAGATGATGAAAAAAATATTTTTGAATAGCTATTTTGTGAATTTACACCCCAAACTCGATTTTTATCATAAATCATGAAGGACCCAAATTAGTAACAAATTATAAACCCACAGAAAAATATTCAAGAACAACGAAATAAAGGCAAAGAGAAATTTTTCTCAAGTATTCACACAGCGCGGCAGCGTGGCTTTTCTTTTTTCACACTAACAGAAGCTTCTGACTCCGCCATGTACAATGACGCAGAGGCTATATCTAATACACTTCTTGTGCCTTGTACACTTGCACAATTACTAGTGCTATATCTTAATGGAACTAATCCCTTGTGACTCCGTCTATAAACTAACAATGCTACTAACATTATTAACTTATAAGCTAATGCCATATGGCCAGCAAATAAGTCTAACCAATAAACTTGGTTTAATATTCTACATAGCCTCCCTTAAACCAAGTTTTTCTGATTTGGACATGCCCAACATCTTCTTCAACTTGACAAAAGTCTCAGTCTTCAATGCCTTGGTAAAAATGTTAGCCACTTGCTCTTAAGTTCTGCAATAATCAACTTCAATCTCTCTTTCTCGAACCAACTCACGTATGAAGTGATATTTGATGTCAATATGCTTGTTACACCCATGGAGTACTAGATTCTTGGACAACTCGATTGCTGACTTACTATCACAATAAATTTTCATAGGATCAACCTGCTTGTGTTATAGAACACCAAGTATGCGACGTAACCATAAAGGTTGAGTAGCACTGTTAGCCGTTGCAATATATTCCGCCTCCGCTGTAAACAATGCAATCATCTGTTGCTTCTTCGAACTCTAGGAAAACACGTCAGAACGAATACAAAATGCATAACTTGAAGTACTCTTCCTCTCTACTGTATCACCTGCCCAATCACTATCTGTATAGCCAAACAATTCAACTGGATCATTTTTTGAATAAAAAATGCCTTCACTATGAGTACCTCCAATATATCTCAAAATTCTCTTAGCTGCCTACAAATGTGACTGACATGGATTTTCCATGAACCTGCTAATCAGACCAACAGCAAAATTGATATCTGGCCTTGTAGACGTCAAATATCTCAAACTCCCTATCAGACTTTCAAAGTAGGTGGGATTCACATATCCACCACCGCCTTCCTTGGTTAACCTCAATTTTTCTTCAACTAGTGTCATAATTGGCTTTGCTGTATCTATTTTGAATTTCTTTAAAATGTTATCTGCATATTTCTTTTGAGATATAAAAATCCCATTGTCAGGCTGAAAGACTTCAATTCCCAAAAAATATGACATGAGTCCCATATCTGTCATCTCAAACTGCTTAATCATAGCCTCCTTGAACTTTGCAACCATCTCTGAATTATTTTGTGTAAAAATTAAATCATCTACGTACAAGCACACAATAAGAATATCACAACGAGCAGAAGATTTAATACATAAAGTGTACTCTTATGGACACCTCTGAAAACCACGAGTTAGAAAATAGGAATCAATTCTTGTATACCACACTCTTGGGGCTTGTTTCAATCCATATAAGGCTTTCTTCAATCTATACACCTTATTTTTCTTATCTCTTCTGACAAATCCTGCTAGCTGCTCCACATACACTTCTTCATTAAGAACTCCATTCAAAAAAGCTGACTTAACATCCATTTGAAAATTTTTTCAGTTATTTTGAGCAGCTAGAGAAATTATCATACGGGCTATGTCAAACCTGGCAACTGGTGCAAACACTTCAAAATAGTCAATCCCGGGTTTCTGCTTGTATTCCTTCACCACTAGTTTCACCTTGTATTTATCAACTTCTCAATTGGGTTTAAATTTTGTCTTGTACATCCACTTCACTCCAATGGCTTTTTACCAATTGGAAGAGAAGTAAGTTTTCATGTGTCATTCTTCTCTATTGCATGAATTTCTTCCTCCATTGCTTTCACCCAACGATCATCATTGGCCGCTTCCTCATACACAACTGCGTCACAATTTGCAAACAAAGCAAAATTAACAATATCTTCGTCAGAAGGAATATCATCTGGTGTAATAACATAATCTTGCAGACGAGCTGGCATCCGTCGCTGACGCTAGGGACGTCTAGTTAACTCAGTTTGTGGACCCTGAGCAACTGGTGATGGTTAAATATCATAATTATCCTCCTCTTGCTAATAATTTAGAGTCACCCCTACTATCTCAAGATCTTCAGTAGACCAATTCCAAACACCTCTTTCGTCAAAAGTCACATCGTTATTCACTATCACCCTTTTTGTTATAGAATTATACAACCTATAAGCCCGAGAGAATTCACTATAACTAATAAATACACACTTCTCCCTCTTTTCATCAAGTTTCTTTCTAAATTGATCAGGAATATGGGAATAGGCAATACACCCAAAAACTCTGAGATGACCAACAAATGGTCTTCTACCACTCCAACTTCTTCAGGAGCTTTTCCAAAAACACTTTTGGTACGACACCTGTTTAACAGATAAATAGCACAAGAAACTGCCTCGGTCCAAAAAGATTTTGGCATATTTTTCACTTTTAATGTACACCTCACCATATCCATAGCTATCATATTCTTCCTCTCTGCTACTCCATTTTGTTGGGGAGTATACCTAGTAGTCAACTGATGTTGTATTCCATTTTTCTCAAGAAAATCATCACACACCATATATTCCTGACCCCTATATGTTCTCAAAATTTTAATTTGACATCCATTTTGCCTCTCAACAAATGTTTTAAAAATTTAAATGTGTAACGAGCATCAGATTTTTGTTTCAAAAACTACACCCAAACTTTTCTACTAAAATCATCAACAAAGGTAATAAAATACCTGCAACCACCAATAGAAGGAACCTCCACAATGCATAAATCTGAATGAATAATTTCTATTGGTCTTCTGGCCCTCTATGATTTGCCATTTTGAAAAGTATCCCTATGTTTGTTTTCCCAAAATGCACATATCACAGACTCTACCGGGATTTCTAATATTAGGCAATCCACCAACCATTCTTTTATTGGCCAAAAATTTCGAACTGTCAAAATTCAAATGACCAAATCCCATATGCCATAACTAATTATTGTCATCTATCATTGTACTCAAACAAGAAAAATTGGCACTACTCAAATTCAATGGAAATAAGCGATTTGAAGTCATTGGTACACTGGCAATCATTCCAATATTTTTATCAAAAATAGTAGAAATAGCATTCCGGATAGGAATATCACATTTTTTTCTCAGACAACTGGCCCATACTCAACAAATTTTGATGCAACCCATAAACATAGAAAACATCAGAAATAAAATCAGTAGACCCATTTTTCAGACTAATAGGAATTTTTTCCTTACCAATCACTGGTAAAACAGTGTTATTCCTGACGTGTGCGGGGTACACATATACAATTTGCTCATCCACAATCAAGTTTTACATTTATAAACTCCTAAATACCCCACACGCGATTTATCGCAAGTATACGAATCGTGAGCGAGTATAGGGTATTAAGCATCGATCCCACAGAGAATATTGCAATTACCGGTGGTTTTTGAACTCCTTTATTATCTAGACTACAATAAACATATAAATGTAATGAAAACTAACTCTAGAAAGCTCCTAGAGATATGGAATTCCTTACTACTCTTGCAAATGAAGTTACCGATTAAGTGAATGCTATTATCTTGGCTAGTTATGGCGTAATTTCCTAATGTACGTGAAACCTACTCTCGTAGTGAATAAACTATATTTATAGCTAAGCCACACCTACTCTCGTGGTTATGAATTAATTACAAGTTCATTTCTTCTATGAAATTATATGAAACAAGCCACTAAAGCCACATAGGTGCTCCTCTACTCTCGTGAGTGAACTCCCTAGGTTTATCACTTCCTTGAACTAATGTTAAATTCGAATTCTCATTGCAAACTTAACACCTTAAGATTATCACAATTAATGGCCGGTTAATCATGATTAGATAAGCAAAAGTGATAAATAACTTGCTCAAAATAATATCATTGCATAACCAAGTAAACATCACTAACAAGATACAGCAAGTTCAACCATAATTCTAGGCATAAACTTTAGCAAAACATGAAAATAAGATCCAAACTTGTATTATAGTTAAACATGAATTTAAATACAAAAGAGAAAGTGATAGGAGAGATGTCACCCTTGTCACATGAGTTTCAAACTCTCCATCTTTGCTCCTCCAATCATCATCCAAATATAACTATATGTACAAGAAGGAAAAACTACACTAACTACTCTATACTACCCTAACTAATGAACTAAGGAAACTCTAGTGAAAACTACATTTTGGTGAGTTTCTCTAGCCTTCCAAAGTTATGAAAATGGTCTCCAAAGGCTCCTATATATAGAGGAATTCAAGGTCAAGAAGAATTGTTAAAGTTGTCATTTTTGACTCTTGAATCTTCCATTAATTATCTTTCCAACTTTCTAACCTTTTCTTGATTAGATACAACTGAGATTGATAGTTGGAATTGAGTTGGAAAGTTGTGTGAAAGCAAGGTAAGTTGATGAGCAAGTTGCAGAAATCAGGCTACAAAACGCTACTTTATAATACGCGACTACAACCCACGTTTTCATTGAGTCACGTTTTCACTTCTGCACTATTTCAACTGCTATTTTCTCAATGATGGAGGCCGAACTAGCTCTTGTACAAAACATGAAAGTTGTAGCCCTTTGAGTTTTCCAATGCCTGAAGAATCATCCAATTTGGAGCTCTGTGGACCAAGATATGACCAAAATGCCAAAGACTGGTCAGAGATCTGTTCCAGCTTATGACCACAGAATTTGTGCTTCTGTATTCTGACTTTTTGACAATAAAGACAACTGAAATGGATTTCGATGTCTTCATACCAAATGTGGATCTATCTCTTAGCTTCAAAATGGTATAAAATCACTTCAATCCAATGCTTGTAGCTCAAGATATAGCCAAAATACCACAAGATGTCAAAGCTGTGAACCTTGCTTCCTTTTATTCTTGATTGCATTTCTTCTCTTGCACTTCATGTCTTCTTTTTATCACCTTAAACCATCATCAATCATCTAATTATATTCTCAATACACTCTATTTGATGATTGAATCCTTAAATCTACAAAAACATGAAATTTTCACCATAAAAATCCATAGAAATGCATTTTTTCCTACTTAAATCACAAAATGCATATTTTCACTAGAATCCTAGTTAATTAGCTGTAAAAATAGTTAAAACATACCAAAACTAACTAATGAAACACAATTAAAACACGTAAAATATCTGCTTGTCAAATACCTCCATACTTGAACCATTGCTTGTCCTCAAGTAATAAGAAATACAAACCAACAATGATCTAACATTTTGAAAATAAACATATGTGCATTATCAACTTCATTTCCTCAAAAACAAGGTAAATAACTATTATGCAATCAATCATTAATCCTCAAGTACTCATAATATCAAGTAAAGGAGAGCCAATTATACCGCCATCATAACAGATTCAAGTCAATTTCTCATCCTTACCCAATTTTACAAGCAAGTAACTCATATGGTCAATAAAATACTTCCTAAACTCATGATCATCTTCTTATTAAACTTAAAGAGGAATTTATTTATATAATATAGCTAAATATATACTTAAGTTATGAAAGTGTCTTTTGACACGAAGATCGATATTTTTAGATGAAAACCGCCGGTTACTCAACACTTCACATACTCAAGTTGCTTTGCATACACTCAATTCAAGTACCGTTTGACGTGAAAGTCGACATTTGTAGATGAAAACTCCCGGTTACTAAACACAAGAATCATTGGAGTAGAACAACTCTTATTCTTTTTTTTTCTTTTTTTTTTGTTTTCATTTTATTTTCTCTTTTTTTTAAGTAAATATAATAATTAGTCCCTCAAAAGAATAATCATGAGAAGAATATTGCAATTATTGACCATATTTATCACTTAACTTATAAAATCAAATAAAAAGAAGAAATTTCATTAAATTTGCAAAATATAAGCATAATTTTCTCCACTTTACAAGATATACTTTCCTATAAATGCACAAATTATAATCACATAATAGTCATTTCCAAGTTAAATTAGAAAAAAAGGTTTCAAGTCACATATATTTACCTCAAAAGCAGAAGGAATTTGAACTACTAATGGTATGGAACTTATTACCTCTTGGATAAAATTGAAAAAATTTGAAACTTTTTGGGGCAAATTTGCAATTTTGAAAAAATTTTGACCCAAGATAAAGCAAAAGTCCAATATTTACAACCAACAAGTCAATCACATACAATGCATATAATCTCAAATCTCTCCCCCACACTTAACACGTACATTGTCCTCAACGTGTAAAAGGGAAATCAA